TAGCCAGAGACCATCGAGAGGAAGATACCCCTCTTCCCAGCCTCATTGCTAGATCCTGAGGTGTGCCCAGAAATGCCTGGACCCGTGGCGACCGATTTTGGGAACTTGCGACAGGCATGCACGGATATTCTATCTTCAGCTGCTCCACAAACTCGCCATCGATGAACAAGGAGGCACGAGAGTACGACGGCGGTCTAGGCTTCTTGTGAACCACACAAATATGGTACCATCGGTTAGGCTCGAAAGCAATGGATTTGAATCGGACACTAGGCCGTGCTCCCCTGATTGAAGTCTGCAGGATGAAGTTACGCGTATCCTTTTCAAGATAGGCCAGCAAGAAGCAGGTCTGCGTGGGGTCAAATGCCCCAAATATTGTGGTGTGTGTGTTCGAGTCAAATTGATCGAAACGCGCCCATACTGACAAAGTGTAACCAGACGAAGTTGCCGGGGGGAACGAGCGACCCATGGTAGAGAACTCTATCGAGCAGAAGCCATGCAATGACAGATCAAACTGTATGAAAGGGGGCCCTTTCGAGCGTTTGAGAACATCCACCAGGAACTGTAGAACTTTGGGACAGTCATGTGCCCTCTTATAGAGGTACACTGCATCGTCTAGCTTGCCGACACCTTGAGCGCATAATAACTGTCCTAGTTCCTGGTATAAGTGCCTCTCCGATTCTGAGAGCTCGTCACTGAAAAGGAGAGGAAGAATCAAAGACAGTGCTCCGGCATTGTGTAATGTGGTGATATTCCGCTGGGACTGAGAGGCCAGCTGAGACAGGCATGCAGGAACAGCAAGTTTCTGGACGTTGTGGTCAGACGGTGAGGCTGACGTCTGGCGCAGCCATACACGGATAAAAGGTTCCAGCAATTCAGGTACTTCAACGGTCTCAGACTGTCCTACGCATCGATCCACTTCTGACCGGATCTGATCAGGTAGTAGTTCGGAGGCCGATCGCAATTTTGTCTCTAACGTTGTGAAGATACTAGAGACCGCCTCCTGGCAAAGAGCCGCTGCCAGAATTCCGCTATAAATTTGCTCTGTGTCACCCCGCACGCCATCTGCCTTCTTCGCTATGATCGCGAATATGTCCTCCAAGGTTGCTCGTCCTCCTCCAGAGATCCGAGTCGCAAAGTGTCGCTTGTTTCCATAATGGTCCTTCAATGCTTCGGCCAACACCGCCAATGTATCCTTGAAGAGTGCCAATAGTGACTTCCTCTGATCTTGCGACACTTGTTCTGGATCATATAACTCCGCAATCTTCCAGAGGAGGTTGATCAGGCACTGAAAGCCATGCAGGTGTCGAAAGTCCTCCTTAGCCTCTCGTGGATGGTCGTCATCGATAAATGTGTGGCGGAGACGGAGCAAACATTCGGTTGCCGAAAGTGCTAGCTGAGAGTCGATCGCATGCCCACTGGCGATAGTTTTCAGCTCCTCGATGACTGGGGTCAACTCGACGGCCGGCCGTACGATAGACGAGGAAGGTGACGGTGAGAGAAGGGAAGTAGTCTGGCTCATTGCGCCGCAGAATATTTTAACCCCGGCTCCCTATCTGACGGCTAGTGACCATCAGACACCATAAACCTTCGCTGAGTGTGATGGTGAAGACGGTCTGCATTGGTAGGTGTGGTAGCGGGTTCGTGGCCGACCAGAATCAATTTGCACACGCACACACCTGCCGATTCATAGGACGACCGGAGAAGGAGAGGAGAATGGAGGGGATGAGAAGCAAGGACGGGTCGGTTGCAGGAGAGAGGAGATCGGCGAGCGAATGTGCGTTCCGTGAGGAGTCAACGGAGTTAGAGGTTCTGTCGAGATCCACCAGGGACTGGGAACGAGAGTGGGTGCGCTCTGTTGTTTCACGGGGGGGTGGTGTTTAGGAGGCAAGGCGACGGGTACCTAGTTTTGTGAGTCGTCTGCGGCGCGGGGAGAAAGAACTCGTATTCTTTCGAGTGGATAGAGAAAATGAACATACTTTGTATGTACTGTAGATTGGTGGGTGAATTGGTTCAACTAAGCCAACGTCACTTCCAACGGAACCATGGCGGGGGAGGAGAGGCTACGGGGAGCTGGGATCGGAGCAGTCCAGGTTCTTTTTCCGCCCAGCAAAACTGCTCGCACTGATTTCAGCAACTGGGCAGTGCTGCCCTACGCGCTTGAACGACGGCTGTCTCGGCTGGGCCGAGCTATTCTAGTTTCTCAACCATGTCTCCACTATCAGGAAGAATGGATAAGATCCATTGGGTTCCAGCTGAACTCGTAGCCCACCCGAGCTTATCAAGAGACGGTGCCGCTTTTACATAGTACAATTTATGCCATGTCGACACCTCAGGCCCACATAGAGGATGGCATCAACACGATTCATGGGGTTGGGGGGGGGGGGGGGGATTCATTAGGAGACTCGCCAACATCGAGCACTTACTGCCTTGTCCCTCGTTGAAAGTATGTCTCACCGACACATATCTCTTCTAAGAAGGTTTTGCTGCTCTCATGGCTATCCTTGGGCCCTGGGATAAATGATGAAACCATGGGCTTCGCATGACACTCGAGTCGACTCGAAGAGGCCGCGCGGTCATTCCACCTCCATTTCCAATGCCTTGGTCAGCCTCGCACAGCTGTCTCCCTGGACCTTGGCTCACAGTGAGAGCATCAGTAACTTATATTTTGTCAGCTTGGACAGTGGAGATTTGGCGATTGCTGAGCCCTAGCACAATGCCGAGGCGTTAACCATTAGGGAGCGGGAGTTGTCTCTTGAAGTGCAAGCACGCTTTAGTACTCGTACTTCGGAGTAGTTTGATTCCTCCTTACTGAAGCCTGCCTTAAGAGGTGACACCTGCAGCCCTTAAACACGTTTAACTTAGGCGTCACGAAATGGATTTAGGCCCGATATTGTCATTCTTCGAAATGGCGATATTGTTGAAGATATGTTGTCAGGTCCTCCTTGCTGTGATGAAGCAACCGAGTAACTAAAGCATGTGTCTCAAGACCTTGCTTGCTAGTGATGACCTATAAATAGTGCGATGCATTTTCACCATCTTGACCGGTCTTCTTCACATTCATTATCAGAAATAATACACATGGCGGAAGGTGTTCACTGAGAAGTTCATCAATAGCTTACGCTACAGCTCTGAATGATGAATGGGTTCAGCTAATCACCAGAAGGCTACACAAGAAGAAGTTACTCTACCTGAAGCAAATTCTATATGCCGGACAACGGAGTTATATAGTCACTCCCATGTCATTGTGCCACTGCCTCATGAACTGCATGAAGAACCCTGTTCCCGAACCTAGCAATCAGACCAGTCGAGCAGAATTCTAACTTTTGGATGTCGTTTTTCAGTGACTCATATACGAGTAATGCCCGGTCGTTACATTTTCTTATATGCAGAACGAGGCTCTTATCAGACAGACCAGAAGATATCATCAGATGAAAAAAAAACAGGAAATGAAGCCATCATGGAAACTCCGGAAGCTGGCCTTCTCCTTCATCCTCGTACCGATTTGAGTTCCTGATGTGCCTTTGTCACCGTATGTTGCAATCATTGACTTTCCGACACTTGCAGCCCACCCAAGGGACTAAGCCGATCAATCTCAAGATTGAAAAGGGTGGCGTCGGCACAATGACTGGTTCACTGCCTCAGCCTCGAGCATCCATGGACGGTCGGAAGGTGAATCCAGCGGTTACTCCAGTCAGCGATGCAGGTGACACAAGCGATCAACCGCAGTCAAGACGATGATTGGTGTGAAGTGGGCCTTGATAAGCACCAAGCGGTCTTATCTATCCAACATTACAGGAGGTCCCAGGGCGATGATACAGTGGGTAATGTAAGTTAAAACTTGGTAAGACCCCTTCCCGGAGGAGCAGGAGTCAGCCGAGCACTTCCAAGGACTCTCCGAGCACGCGACTCCGGGTTGCCTGGGTGCCGAGCGCGCGCTGCCTACCTTGTTAATGGTGGCGGGTAGTAGTTGGTCACATACCAGTCAGGTCAGGGCCAGGTACGTACCTGCAGTCCAGGGTCGGTTGCTCTAATTCCGCAACAAGGAGAGCTGATTGAGCTGATTGAGCTGGCTGAGGCGGGTAAGCTTGAAGAGCTTGTATGCAGGGTCATTTGACCACACAAGCCATAGCACACGAGCTTTAAATTAACGATGATCGTGAAGAGGGTCATTCAGAGAATCAAGTTATGTCAGTAACAATCTTAGAGTAGTATAGGACTCGAACAAGTAGAATGGTGAATTTTGCGGGGGCTGACCTATTCTTGAGTCACCCACCGCCCCCTCTCTCCTCGAGCTCTAAGGGCTAACTACTGGCAACTAACTGGCTCCAAGGGTACCTCCTCGTCACCCACCCGCCAGCGGCAAGCGCATGTATCTTCCCTCTAGTAGGTCAACTAGTACTCGAGTAGGTAACGAGGGATGCAAGCTGCGCCCCAGTTCGCCTCATTATAGCTATTCCTGATATCTCAGATATTCCGAATCGCAGAATGGAGTTTCCGTAATCATGAACAGGCAGACAGGTAGAACCTATCAGCCTCTCTTACGTATACCCTCGGGATGTTTTAACGTTCCCCGGCCACGATAGGCTGGGGGATTCTCCGTTTACCGCCGTACTGTAACTCCCATACGCCAGTGTAGAGCAAGTGAGACTGTGAGTAAGGTAAACTGTAAACTGTAAACTGAAAAGTAAAGGTAAAGATAAACTTACCTCTTTTGTATGTTTCTTTCCAGTTTACCCCAGAATCCGTTGCCAACCTTGGAGCCCGCGCTAATCACCGGGGCCCGATCGACACTAAAGACCGAGAGAACCAAACGAATCTGCTGTGTCATCCGGTCATCCATTGTAAAGATGGTAAAGATGATAAATTACCGTATGCCGGTTGCATCATCACCTGCTGCCCTTGCCTCTTGTTAGGATAAGCAGTCCCCATCTCCACCTCCATCCGCCCTTCTCCTCATCTCCTCGCCCTTCCTCCTCTTCTTAATCAACAACTCCCCCATCCTCCGCCCTCCCTTCCATTCCTCCTCCATCTTTATCTTTGTCAACCTTCCTATCTCCCAGTCCCTTTTTCCCTTGTCCATCTCTCATTCCTTCCGTCTTTCCTCTCCCCCCTCCCTACCCTCATCGCTTCCCTCCTTTACACTGCCCTGAGCTTCCATCTTACCCCATACACTCATGATGAAGGGCATCCTCGGCCTTTCCGTGCTCCCGCTGCTGGCGGCTGCATCGCCTGTCTTTGTTGATTCTATCCACAATGGAGCCGCTCCCATTCTCTCCGCATCCAACGCAAAGGAGGTTCCCGATTCATACATTGTTGTTTTCAAGAAGCACGTCACCTCGGTCTCGGCCGCCGCTCACCACAGCTGGGTGCAGGACATCCACTCCTCTCAAAGCCAAAGCCAGCGGACCGAGCTGAAGAAGCGGTCGCTCTTTGACTTTGGTGAAGAAGTCTATCTTGGTCTCAAGAACACCTTCGACATCGGTGGCTCCGTGATCGGTTACAGCGGCCACTTCCACGAGGATGTTATCGAGCAGGTCCGCATGCATCCTGATGTAAGTTCTCTGTCGTCTCTGCCATCGCCATATCAACCCCTTCTAATCGATCTTGCGTAAACAGGTCGCCTACATCGAGAGAGACTCCGAGGTTCACACCATGGAGGTGAACACTGAGAAGAACGCACCCTGGGGATTGGCCCGTATCTCCCACCGTGATAGCCTCACCTTTGGCACGTTCAACAAGTACCTGTACGACTCTGAGGGCGGTGAGGGCGTTGATGCCTACACCATTGATACCGGCATCAACGTCGACCATGAGGACTTTGAGGGCCGTGCCACTTGGGGCAAGACCATTCCTAACAATGACGAGGACCTTGACGGCAATGGGCACGGAACTCACTGCTCTGGTACCATTGCCGGTAAGAAGTACGGTGTGGCCAAGAAGGCCAACCTCTACGCTGTCAAGGTCCTGAGATCGAGCGGCTCTGGCACGATGTCCGACGTCGTTCAGGGTGTCGAGTGGGCTGTTGAGTCCCACCTGAAGAAGGCCAAGGATGCTAAGGCCGGTAAGGTTAAGGGTTTCAAGGGTAGTGTTGCCAACATGAGTCTAGGTGGTGGCAAGTCGAAGACCCTCGAGGATGCTGTCAACGCTGGTGTTGAGGCTGGCCTTCACTTTGCTGTTGCCGCCGGCAATGACAACGCTGACGCTTGCAACTACTCTCCCGCTGCTGCTGAGAATGCCATCACCGTCGGCGCTTCGACCCTCGGCGACGAGCGTGCTTACTTCTCCAACTATGGCAAGTGCACCGACATCTTCGCTCCTGGTCTTAACATCCTGTCCACCTGGATTGGCAGCAAGCACGCCACCAACACCATCTCTGGTACCTCGATGGCTTCTCCTCACATCTGCGGTCTCTTGGCCTACTTCGTCTCCCTTCAGCCTGATGCCGACTCTGCTTTCGCTGCTGGCGAGCTCACTCCTGCCAAGCTCAAGAAGGACTTGATCTCCATTGCCACTGAGGGTGCCCTTACTGACATCCCATCGGATACCCCTAACGTAAGTTGACCGCGTTTTCCACACTCTGGGAGTAATTGTGACTGATTATTCTTTAGCTCCTCGCCTGGAACGGCGGTGGCTCCAGCAACTACACCGACATTGTTGCCAACGGTGGCTACAAGGTCTCCACCATCAAGGATCGCTTTGAGAACCTGGTTGACAAGGCCGAGAAGATGCTCTCTGAGGAGCTTGGCGCTATCTACAGCGAGATCCAGGACGCCGTCATTGCATAGATTTGATTTTTTGTTTCACAGACCTAGTTTGAGTTTTTGACGTCAAGACAACAGCTTGAGATCAAGACAAGAGCAGGTCGGACATTGGCGCTGGCTTTTTTTTATCCTATTGCTTTGGAGTTGATGCATTGAGTGCGTCAATTGTACCATCCTGATATTATCCACCCGTCTGACCTATCCTTATGGTAGTATACATGTCGCAAAGAACCTATGACGCTTTGATTTAGAATTTTTGGGTGCTTTTACCAGATTGTCAACTTGTTACGATTATTAGAGAAATGGTATCTTGCTGATGGAGACCAGTCAATGTAGTTTGTATGAGAACATCTGTATCTTGTGTTGTGACTGCCTAACGAGAGTGGAGCTTATCATATGTTACGTACGGAGCAGATAGCTTCGGTTTCTCGTCGATAAGCAATTGAGTTCCTTACTGTACTTTATATGCATACATACGCCTCACTGAAACACTGACTGAGTGATTTCGATCTTGCTCCTAGGCTTGGATTGACGTCTACATCTGTATTGAGCAATGCGCTTCCCACTTTTCGGTAGATCAGCGCCCATCCACGATGCCGGGTTATACTGACTGTACTATACAGTGCAAAACACCGAAGGCCAGGTCAGTTCCTACTCATACGTAAATTCCCCTCCTGATAAGGCCCGAACTCCACTTATCCATCCATCCACATGATCCCCCGCTCGGATAACTCAATGGCACCCGCACTCTCTCATTCGAACCCGCTGAATAAACCCCGCGTTCTCATCTTCGCACCCCTACAACTAAAGAGGCTCAGCGCAGATGCTAGTCTCATTCTTTGTAACCAGTCCTCTCTCGATACCACCGGCGCAAAGCATAGCATTTGAAATACTTACGCGCCAGATACACGTTACCGTGTACTGTACGAGGAGGCTACGAACCTCTCCCCAGGAACGTCATGCTTTGCTTTACTTTCCTCACCGCGCGAGAGCTGCTAAGCTTAGCGTTGGCAGGATTATGCATGTAATGAGAAGGGGTAGGGGATGGGGAAGGAATGAGGAAGATCGACGGGTCTCGGACTATCACCCCTCCCTCTCCTGGGTCTCTTCCCCTCCCGCGTGATGGTATCATCAGGACGGACGGTCAGGCACCGGGAACCCATACAGTAAGCATGCTACATGCGAGTAGAGTGCTAAGTCGGAGGCGTTCGGAGTTCCCCTCCCCCCCCCCCCCCCGGCGCCCCGCTGGGATGTGTCGCTGGATTGAGATATGATCGGCTGGGAGATTACTCAATACTCTCACTGGTAATGGTGGTGGTGGTGGATGACATTCCTGTCCCGTGGAGGGGTGACATCATCTTCTATGGATCATCTGCTTGGGTTGGGGTCTTGATTAGCGCTGCTTGGGCATTCGCTGCGATACTGTGTTACGGGGGAGTTTTGACTCTGGGAAGATTTGAGATTCGATGATGATAAGAGTAGATGATGGCTAAATGATATATGCATGCATGCATTGAAAAGAGAATACACCCCGTCCGTCCGTGCTCTGCAGATGAAGTGGATATGTAAATCACAGATAGAAATATGCTGCTCCGTGGCCTATATCGTCCGTCCAATGCGCCTCGCTATGCCAGTTATAAGACAGAAGATAGAAAAGGAAAATAAAATAAGGCAGAAAGAACCCAAGGTTCCAAGCGCCGGATCCAGGAGGCGAGAAGAAGTCTGGTGGATTTGCCCGTCGCAAACCCACAATGTACAGGGGAGCTCCGATTAGACTCCCCTCAAGACTTGTTGACTAGCTCGTCTTCCTCCTCACTGCCCGTCTCCTGGTCCTCATCATCCACATCCAGATCCTCGTCGGAGTCGCTGCCTCCGAACACGTCGTCGTCGACATCGCTCTCCGCCCAGAAGTCGGAGTCGTCCTTCTCAATGGCCCTGGCCGTCGAGGTCGTGTGGTGGGTGGGCATGATAAACCCCTCGGGAATGTCCTTCTTCGAATCTTCCACGTGCTGACGGACGATCGACTTATAATGTTCGGGGTTCTTGCGGAGCATCACCGAGGCGTCCACATTGGCGGGCGAGGAGATTTCTGCGTCGTCGAGTAGCGAGAGGATAGATATGAGGACGGATTCGACTCGCTGGGCCGGGGACCACCGCTCCGAGGCTAGTTCGCCCGACATTTCGTCCTCGCCGGGCGCATGGAGGATGGAGATGCACAGTTTGCCGTCTTTGTAGATGTTCGGATGATAGAGGGGACGAAGGAATCGGAACTCTGTATGATGATAATCATCAGGTTAGTCGATTTGCGCATTTCTGGTATAGAAAGGGGAGGGAGGGGCAAGGCGCTTAGGGCCCAGGCATAGCGAACACGGGCTGACCAACCTGGAGGGGAATAAGGGTAGTTGCTCGGAAACTTCATTGAGGCCTTGAAGTATCCGCCATAGTAGAGCGAGTCTGGGTTGAGGACGATCAGGCCCACGTTCCAGTTGAGAATGTTCTGTTCATCGATCTGGGAGCGAAATCCGGTCAGTATCCTTCACGATAAGGGGGAAGTGGTCCGCGGTTAGGTGGATAGTTCCGCGACATGTCAACCTAGACAAGAAATCCATGGGAACGTACTTCGATATTAACCCATGGCTCTTGCGACAACGACTTGTACTCGTTCATCAAGATGCGTTCCACCATGGTGAGCGACGGAGAGGCAGGGGTGGCGGGCGGGGAGTAGCCACAGAAATCAAGGGGTACAAATGAATATATACAGATCCCAAGTGGTGAAGCAGAGTAGTTGAAGATATTTACGTAGATCGCTTCCTTCGGGTTCTGAAGATCAAATAGATAGGCAGTAGTGGTGGTGGTGAGAGACACGATCTTGTGAGGGGAGGCAAGTTGGAGTGAGGGTCATTGTCCGGCAAGAGACGCCGCTCGGTGAAAGAGGCCGCTAGTCCCGCTGTGGCAATCCATGCTATCCCACGCGCAACGGAAGGTCCCGGGTGAGTGGCGTGCCCGATTCCCTCATCACTTCCTTAGAAATCCGATGGAATCTCTCTGCAGAGTTTTTTCTGCCATGAGCCACCTCGATCTAGCGAAACCTACCTTATACCTACTTGAAGTAATACCCGAACAAGCAGACGGGCTCATAACCCGTGACCCATGACACTCAAGCTCCGAGGCAATGCCGCTGTGTTCAAGCATTGATAAGATACAAGTCGGAAGGGTCTTCAAAGTCAGCTTAGTCAGGCCCCAGAGGTGGGAAAGACACCCCAGGGCAGCCACTCACAGTGTAGAAACAGATGAGCAATCACTGACGTTCATTGGTTTTCATAGCTTAAGAGGAGAACAAACAGTGGGGGCTCGAGAGGGGGGAAAGCAGCCCTTCGAGTGGGGAAAAGTCGCTGTAGTCTTATTTAGGACTACTTTGGAGTCTTGGACCAGCTGTTCAGTTATCATCGTGTTCGTGATATCATTACGGCATCGTCCCCAGCAATCCGGGTGAAATCCTCTATTCCAGGCGGAAACCTGGAAACTGACCGACGGAGTTCCTAAGGAGTACCTTAACCAGAAGGGCTCCTGGATGGACAAGACATGCCACTGAGTCAAAGGCACATATCCTCTTCTAGCCGCCTTGCTGCTCCTGCTGTTCCTCGCTGCTTATCTCTCGGATGATAAAGAAAGCGCCCCATCAGACTCAGATTACGAAATCAGCCAACTATCCCATTTTCAGACGCCGACGCCTGTCAAGTGATGACCTTCCCAGAGCTTGACTCACAGCTCCAAGCGAAATTTGATAACAGCCAAGCGCGCATGACGAATCAACCGCGTCAATTGCAACAAAAGGTCAAAGGGTCGAGTTTGTCAGTCGAGTCGGTGTGACCGGCAAGGGGTATGCAGCATGCACGGACAGCCCGACAGCCCTCGCATGTCCCTATCTTCCAACCCCTCTCATTCCTCCATTTTCCATGAAAATTTAGTTTCGACGAAAAGTCAAGAAGAGGTCTGTGGGTAGGAAGTTCGAGTCCATGTTCTTCGCAGCTTTCTTCGACAATAGGAAAAATCTAGAGCTCGTCGACTGCGGAACGAACCCTAGAGTTCTCACAAATCTGGGGACATCTGCCCTAATGACTCCAAGAAAAAGCGAAGATGAAATCCTTCAAGATCGCACCTGGCAGAGTGGATCCACCAGAAAGAGGTGGTTAAAATAAAGTGATTTGATTTGATCTGTGATACATCAATTCCACTGGACGCATCGGGAATGCAAGCATCTGATAATGATTGAATGACAAGAAAACTGCATGTTTTGCCCACGTCTTGCGTGCAATGTCAGCATTGCGTGAAGGACGGATGGAGGGTTGACCATGGATCCAGAAGAGTCATAAAAGTCTCAGAAAATATAGTATCTATCCTGGCGAATACCGAGCCATCGTTGGTGAAACACCACTAGTAGAATTGGGTGTAACGGCAGTAATACTAGGTACTAATTCACTTTTGTCGCAGCGTGGGAAGCCTGGAAGGCAATTGGATTAATTTACTGGAGGTCTGGAATATTCGTTGCGGGCGGAGGAAAACAGCCTCCACTGCTATTTTCTCTAGTTTTTCCAGGGCAAGTTAGAGGCTGACTAGGGGGGAAGGAGACTGACTAACGAGTCTTAACGAACTAGTAACTTAGCCTGCCGGGCTGTTCTCCACGGGCTGTCCCACTCGCTCGGCGTCCGCCTGCTGCTCGTCATCGCCGCATTTCTGTCTTCCTGGTCTTCCACCCTTCCTCTCCTTCCCCCCTCCCAGTTTTTCTCTCTCTCTCTCTCTTTCCCTCCACCTTCACTGCCTGCCCTCGTCTCCTCTCTCCTGCAACAACCTATATTATCGCCGAGGTCGTGCTATGTTGCCAGCCTCCTCGCGATCAACGCCGCTGTATAATTGCGCCCGTGCCTAACCGTTGCTCTGGTGGAAAAGTTGACTACATCGCTTTTCTCCGCCTTCCCGTTCGGCGATGCTAGGCTTGTCCTGCATCTATATGCCGTGACGTTGTCTCGCTTGCCACTGCACAGGACGCCTTCTCGTCTAACAATTGCTGGCTAGGCTAATTCAGTCTATATCTCGAATTCAGCACACAAGCGCATGATCTGTGCAGCTCCTTTGTTTCGACCGTTCTTCGTCTACCAATAATGGGGGTGGAATGCCATGGCCCTATCTGGGCCGGTGATGACCTCTCTCGTTGCTTCCAACGCAAGTACGTTGAATTTCTCCGGCCAGTGTAGGGCGCCGTGCCAGAATATGAACTAACAGGCCATGATTCTAGCTACCTGCAAGT